CAAATCTCACATATAGCTACAAATAAAGGTAATATCAATAGACAATGATTATAAAGGATATAAACTTAGACAACAAATAGTGGAAAGACAACTCCGATCTTCGGGTGAAGACTCCAATTCCACAGGGACAACTGACTAGTTGATCACAAGCCTAATTCCTCCAAACTCTAGCAATCTGGTACCCATCCAGGATTTTTCTAAGGTATTGAAAAATAAAGCAAGCGTAAGTACATGTCGTACTCAACAAATATAACATAGGGTTCATAAGGCTCAAAAGGTTGACACTGGTTCACTGTGATTGGTTTTTAATGAGTCATCTTTTAGCAACTGGGTGGCAACAAGTTTATTCACAAGCCCATATAAACACATGATCAGGTAAACATAAATAATGAATAGCATAAACAGTAATTATTAGTGAGCATCTTCGTCATTAGTATCATCGGTGTTCATCATATATTCCGTAAGGGTTCCAAGACCGCTCGTGACCGTGAGCACGGCTGATATACCAGTTTTACACTCTGCAGATGTTGTACACTTTCACTGTGAGTCGTGATTTACCCTTTCGCCCGAGGTAGCTAATCTCTTGACCCACTTCCAAGGAATGTCGATAGGGTTCACTATAAAGCCTTTCAAAGATTCGTCTAACAAGTTAGGGCCATTAGATTCACTCGGCAAATAGATATAGGAACCCCCTATCGAATGACACAATGACACATAGCCTATACACATAAGAGTAGAGGCTGTCCTATACCTGATTCGTCAAGCCATTCTTACATCATAAAGATAACCTCTAACAAGCTAGAAAAGGTCCTCATACTGAGCTAAAGCCAGAGCCATGTAGCCCTTATAGATAAGTTCTTAGGGAGAGGAATCTAGAGCACCATAAAATAGCTCAATGCTCTAGCCCCCTGGTTCCATGTTGCTAAAAAGCATCTTTTAGTGTTTGTTGCATATACCATTAGTCAAGTTACAAGATCATGATCTTTAATTGAGCACTAGCATCATACTAACCAATTCAATACCCCATAGGTAACAAGGCACAAGGTAACAAAGCACTAGAAAATCCTTAGTGGCAGTCAAGGTAGACACATGCAGTATGAATTAAATGATTAAAGGTGTATAGGACAACAAGGAAGATCCCATACTATACTTGCCTTAAACTTAGATCATTCTTTCAGTCCAAACCTTTGGATATGCTTCTTGATTCACTACGTATAGCTCACCGACTGGACATGATCATAGAACACCAAACAAGCATCTATGCAATCATACACGAAACAAACAATAGAACTAAATTAGAACAGTACACCAAACATATGAAACAGTAAGTAAAAATGTTTTAAAGATGTTCTACACACACAGGCGCGAAGAGCACACTAATCGAAGCTACGGTTTAAAAAAACCACAAGATCTACTTATAAGAGAAAATATAAAACTATAAGCTTCATGTGTTTTAACTATATAAAAGCTTATATAAATTGAATTAAGTCAAATTTAGATTTGAATTATAAAACTAAAGTAAAACAAATCATATTTTATTTATAAAATCCAGTTGCATAATTATTATTCAAATTAGAGTTTAAACCATAAAATTCTAGAAATAGTGACATGATAAACATTGTTACTAACGCGTAGATCTTGTTGTAATGAATTTAACGTAACTTGAACAGGTCAAATCAGAGCTAAACATAGAAGATTTGAATTAAACAAGATTTCCTTTAATAAAATAATAGATTAAATCTAACCTTGAATTTTAAAAGTTGAAAACATATTTAACAGTAGTATGAACATGTAGATTATGGAATTACGAACCTAACGCAAGTTGAACGGGTCAAATTGGAGTTAAAACGGAGAAAATATGAGCAAACCAAAATCAGTGGCAATCTTATAATTATTTTGAACTCATTTTTAGTTTTAAAATAAAAGAAAATGAATTAAAACTTCTCTGTGGACTTGGCGTCGTTTTAAGGAAAACACAGGGGTCAAAACATAAAAACTAGGGGTATTGATTGAATTATTTTGAACTACGCTGGACGGCGGGTTCAAACATAGAAAAACATAGGGTCTCTTTAGCAAGAATGACAGGCGAAGGGGTAACTTTGAATCTGGGACGTTGATCACGTGATGGATGGCTACGATTGAGTGGGAGGGAGGGAGAGAGTGCTGTCTCCGGGAAAGAAGACGGCGCTGCGGCAGCCATGAACGGCGGCGAGGAAGCTCGTCGGCGAACTGGTTTAGGCCCTACGGACCACCACAGAGCAAAATGAGGGCATGGAGGGAAAGAGGACGGCGAGGCGAACTCACCTCGGTAGATCTTAGCGGCGGGGAGTGGACAGAGGCGGCGCGTGGCGCAGCGAGATGACGGCGACACGGCGGCTAGGGTTGTGAGCTCGGGCGAGGCGATTGGAGCGAGCACGGCGGCTTAGGATTATGTGGGGGCGATGCGGGCGGCACGATGCTCCTATTTAAGGGGCCCGAGATGCTTGGGAGGCACGGCAACGGCGAGGCATAGGCGGTGTGGACTCGACAGCGGTGGCGGTGGTGTCCGGCTCGGGCACGAGCGGGAAGAAGACGGTGCTGACGAGTGGGGTCCGCCTGTCTGCGACACACGCGGGAAGAGAAGAACGGCGCGGAGCACTGCTCGGTTGGGCCGGCCCAAGAAGGAGAAGGGGAGAAGGCGAGCAGGCTGCGTGGGAAAGGATAGAGGAGCAGGCCGGGCTGGGTCAAAAGGAAGAGGAGGGAGATAGAGAGAGCAGTTTTTTCCATTTTCCTTTTTGTTTTCAAAACCAAATTCAATTATGAACCAAATGCAAATCTAAACATAGTTTCAAATATACTTTTCAATTCAAATAAAAAATGAGAAATTTTGGTAAGTTTTCTAAAAATAAATTTTACAACTTTTTAAATTCTTTTATTTTCAAAGACATTTTAAAATTCATTTTCAAAAGCATTTTGAATTCATTTTGAATTTTGGATTCAACCACTCATTGCAATAAATCAAATGCACCGGCATGTATGCACATCCATGTTGCTACTCCTTATGATGAATTTTGATATAATGAAAAATAATCTTTTTCCTATATTTCATGTGCATAAAAATTCATAAATAAATCATTTTAATCCTATTTTCAAAAGTACAAATTTTTGGGTGTTACATTTTGGGAGCCAGTGGTGGCACAAAAATTGAACTATGATACCGTGGGAGTTGTGTCATGGTTTGAAAACCTCCAATTGGGAACCAAACTTATCCTTAGTTTTGTGCACCAAAGAATTATATAGTTGGACTAAAAGATTGACCAATATCACTTAGTAGTATTAAGTGTATGTGAACGTGCCAAGGTAATTTAAAGTTAAGCGCCATGCATCAATATTTTTCTCAACTGCCAATCTTGCTTTGAATGGCTGACCTGGCTAGCTAGCAGCAGGCTAGTTTTGAATTCAGAAAAAGATTTTTGCTATTTATGTTGGCATATTTTTTTGGTACTAAATTTGTCAGATTTCTATACGTTTGTTTGTACTTTATGATTTGTGCTACAACTATCTACTGGGTTGTATTTATAAAAAAAAATCTGATAGATTTGAGCACAAAGAATCTGTCCACAAATAACTAGACACTCCTTCATAAAAAGGTTGATCGATTTATATAAATAGTATGTGTGTGAACACAATGTATATATACACAGAATATGTTGTTTAGGGATCGAACGACCCGTATACACAAAATGAACATATGTATGCGTTACTATGGAGCACTGATCTGTTTAAAGCTAAAACTGCATAGACAGCATGACATGACTGCGTACAAGCATGCATGTAAAACCGGCCAGGTATGTAGGTTTCTTGTGAGTTGTGAGGCGATATTGTTGGGAGTCTTCGCCGGCGCCTCCACGCGTCGGCTAACCGTCCGGCAGGCGGCGGGGACACCACCAGCACCTCTCACCCATCTCTAGGTCACAACAAAAATATTATCTTCGCCAACGGCCGCAATTGTTTAACTGTACTTTTTTAATAAACTTTGCTAAGCACGCTAAACCAATCTAATCGTTTGAGATCTTCTGTGCTCAGCATATCATGTGCCACCGTTTGCGGTTTGTCTCTTGTGTGTTCTTGGTACTAATATATATAGCATGGCACACAAAACTATATAACCTTCCCTTCTGGGTTTTCTAGTCGCACCGCACCGAAATTTTGTAGCTAGATCATTGCATTTGGCTATTGAAATTACTAGTGCAAAAGGTAAAGCAACCGCTCCTTATACTAGTGTATACGTATATAGAATCACAGTAGTGAAAACAATATATATATGCATACTCCAAATGAACAATATATTATATATAGATATTTACTACTTTACTTCCTTAATTAATCTCCGAGGACTTTGCTTATAGTTGATGGAACTAGCTAGGCCCTGACAGAGACATGCACACACAATAGAAAAGAGCACCCTCGTGTTCAGAATGGTCACCTTTCGTGGTTGCGACGATTTTCTCGGCTATCATTAGCACAGGCATTTAGGGGGTAATTAGCACCACCACCAGCCCGGCTGGTATTAAAGCCGGCTCCAGTTGATTTATTGTGAGAGAAAAATACTATATATTCTAGCTGATAAGCTGGCTGATAAGTTCAAGCGAACAGGCGTGCTTTCCTTTCCTTGCTAAATAAAGCAAGTAGCAGGATAGGGGAAAGTCTGCTCGCAAGTTGCATCCACCCTGCGCCAAGAAAAGCCATCCCTCTTCCCACAAACGCACACACAAGAAAGCATCGTCCATTTCCCCTCTCTTCCTCCATTGAGAAACCTGCTGCTTTTGAGCTTTCTTCTTCGAGAGCTCCCACCTGTCCACCAGATCTCCTCCTCCTTATTACCTTCTTTGGCTTGGCGCGGAGATCCTGCCGTCGACCTTGCTCTTGGAGGGCCACAATCATATCTCCATAGATTTCTGGCCAGCCAGCGAGCTGAGAGAGAAGGTCGAGAGAAGGTCAAGAGAGAGAGAGAGAGGGAGATGGGGAGGGGAAAGATTGTGATCCGCAGGATCGACAACTCCACGAGCCGGCAGGTGACCTTCTCCAAGCGCCGGAACGGGATCTTCAAGAAAGCCAAGGAGCTCGCCATCCTCTGCGATGCGGAGGTCGGCCTCATGATCTTCTCCAGCACTGGCCGCCTCTACGAGTACTCTAGCACCAGGTCTCTTCTATTCATCCGTGGTGCTTTAGTTTAATTAATACTAGTTTATTAATGTCAATTATTTCCTTGTTCTTGAAGTAATATAGTAATATACTTATTGGTCTTGCTTTATTTGGGTTCTCGATTGCATTTTATGATTTGGAACTAGCTAGAAACTTCCTGTCTAAATAACATCATACATGGACTAATGTGATGGACATATACACCATACTTGTCGAATATTGACTACATAGCACACAGCAATATATATTACTCGTACATATCAAGCTTTTTCTTTGACGGGGCAAGCAAGGTCTGTGTGTAGTCTATAACAATATAATACATCTTTTTGGTACGGTTTAGTATATGTGTTTTTTTCCCTCTTCTTCCTTGTTTCGTCTATTTGAACTATTTCTCTCCGTGCTTTGTGCAAAACTAAATTTACGTATTGTTTCATGTGATCAACACAACACATGTCATTTCAGTAGGAAACACATAGGCTTTTAGTGCAAAACACTAAAGTTTTTTTTTCCCAGAGAGAAGCTAGATCTAACTTCGGTGATTAAGAATTTAGCTTTTAGATAGCTAAACTTAAATCTTTTAGATTGAATCGCATAGTAATAGTTATTTTTAACTGCCATTTGTGCTGTGTGTGCAGCATGAAATCAGTTATAGATCGCTACGGCAAGGCCAAGGAAGAGCAGCAAGTCGTCGCAAATCCCAACTCAGAGCTTAAGGTTTCGTCTAGATAAATTCTTCTGTGTATTCTGAAGTGTTTGCTTGTTTAACTAAAAGATTGCTATATGTTTTCTTTCATCTTGATACATATTCTTTATTTTTATGGTTTTAAGGATGGGAAGAAATTACACAAATAATTAGCAGATTTAGCTAGCTAGATCGAAGAAAAATCAAAGTTTGTAGGACTGGGTTGTTGCTTCTATATGTACAGATGAATGATCAGGTTGTATTATTCACTATCACCACCGTAAGCTAGAAAAATTAACTACTGTGTGGCTAAGTTTTGTCGGGGCCTCTTAGTCACATCAGCAAGCATTCTACCATTTTTTTTTTGTCTTATCATGCGTGAGCTGCTTGATCTTTTCTAATTAACAAAAAATAATTTCAGTACATGAGGATATCATCAGTTTGCTTGTTTATTAGCTGGTCCACTATAAAACGGTTTGATCAATCACGCTTTCATATTATATGCGTGGATATATAATCCCTAAACAGCACTAGTATATAAAGATTGCAATGTCAATTCAGACCAATCCCAACACACTTGGTTAGGGAATCACATTCTGTTTTTTATTGGTTGGTTTCAGATTGTATTTTTAACAATGGAATTTTTAAGGAATCAAGCAACTGACTATATATTATTACAAAGTACAAACTAATGAAACAAAGATTAATCAACCATGCATGAGATAACCATCCTCAGCAATCTGAGTTATCTCACTTCTTACTTCAACTCTTTATTGGTATTATCTTATGCTTTCAAAAGTGGCACCTATAGATGCAATTTAGTATTTTATTTCAGCTTTTACAACAACAACAACACCTTTTAGTCACAAGCAAGTTTGGGTAGGTAAGAGTTGAAACCAAACATGAGCCAACAAAAAAGAAAAAAACGATAAAAAAGAAATAAATATATAAAAGGCACTAATAATAGTCATATTAAATTATTAGGGGATCTAAGAGCATCTCCAAGAGGTTAGCCAAAAAGACTAGCTAAATTTACTGATTTAGCTACTCTCTAAAATAGATTTGACAAAAAAATACTAGAGTACCCCAACAAACTCCGTAAAACAAGAGACTGAATGGCTAGTGAGGTAGGCTATCCAAAAGTAGAGAGCGAATGAGAGGTGGGACGAAGAGCTACTAAATTTGGAGAGTCATTTACAGAGCCTGTTGGAGACGTTTTTCCTTCCATAATAGCCAAATTTACCTTTAAAAATGATTCGGCTAATCTCTTGGAGATGCTCTAAAGCTTGTACATACCAGCTTCTTGCGAGTTATACCGGTTAGAGCAGTGTGCTCGGGGGTCTCCCCTTGCCGGTCCGCTTTCAAATCCTCATATAGCTTCTTACTGCAATGCCCATAGGGCGCCCCTATGGTAGAGTTTTTTATAGCCCGTTCATGGTTCAAACCCATGAATATCTACTTTCCATACACTCCTATCCAAGAACAATTCTATAGGTATATTCCATACTCTCAAGTCCCTTCTTATTGCCACCGTCCTGTCAAGTTTGATCGACCTTGTCCATCCCTACATTGTTGTTGCACCTTACAGTTCTCTAGTGACTCTAGTGGTCTCTATTGAACATGTCCAAACCATCTCAATAAATGTTGGACAAGCTTTTCTTTAATATGCTACCCCTATCCTGCCACTTATATCATCCTTGTATGTCTTGTGACCTCATCCATCACCAAGGCGAGCAGACAAGTTGTCAAAGATGGCCCCCAATTTAGTCATATTTTAATCAAGAACTGACCTATGACATCAATTGTTAGAATACTAGTCATAACATTATTGTACATGTCCTTGATGAGGGAAACATAATTTGTTGAGAATTTATGTTTGTATAAAATCTACCACATGGCATTGCTTAATGGTTTTTCATAGGCCCTCTGATGAAAAACAATGCTCCATAACCCTATCCCATAGCTGAATAGTATGTCTCATCACTTAATTCTCTGATAATTAGCACAACTTTCACTGTGAATCTAGCCAAACATAATTAGGGCCAATTTCATTACATGGCATAGATTTTCTTAAGTTCCAACAATATTTTACTAAAGGATTACAAAATTTGTCATGGTCGATAGACCCTGACAAACACCCCTAAAATTACCCTACCCTTAAGGCATCTCCATACTTCAATTGGGATATACCATTAGGACTCGTCACCTTGCCCTATTTTCCTATCAAACCTCAGATTCTTGAATCCTATGAACTAAGAACATATTAGTGTCATCAAAGGAGCCATCTAATTAACTAGTATGTTCTCATTCTCACCATTGAATAATTTGTCTAAACACTATTGCCATTTATGTTTGATCCCATCCTATTTCACCAAGAATCAATCCATCTCATCTCATCATTAGTGCATTGAGGTCCCTCGTCTTCCTTCCATCAACCCCAGCCATCGTATATGTCCTTCTCTCCTTTGTTTTTACTTAGGTATTGGTAAATATCCTTGTAGGCACGACCATCTCACTTACAACATGTTTTGCAGTCTTCTTTGCCACCTTAAACTTCTCTACGTTGTCCACACTCTTGTCATGGTACAAGCACCTATAACATTCTTTCTTCTTAATAGCCTTCTAGACATCCTCGTTCCTATACCAAGTATCATTAGTTTTGTGTCCTCTTGTTTTAGTCACTCCAAACACCTTTGAAGCTACCTTTCAAATATATGTTGCCATCTTCACCCACATGTTGTTTGCATTCTCTATCATTCCAAAAGCCTTCTTTGATAACCTTTTTTCTTAAAGACCTCTAAGGCCTCCCCTTTGAGTTTCCACTACTTCATCCTTGCAATTGTGCCTTGTTGGTCCCTGCAATCATGCAACTAAAAGTAGAAGTGATCATTCACTGCTGAGAAACAACATACTAGGTATCACCTTATTACAATACAAGCATGCTCATGTGCCATCTCTTTTTGGAAGGATTAAGTTAATCCAACACTAGTGTTTGCCACTACTAAAGGTCATCAAATGGGGCATCTATTTTTAAAGGAGGAGCCGGTTATCATCATATCATAAACTATAGCAAAGTTCAACACTTTCCCTACCTCCTAATTCCTACCGCCATACCCAGACGCATCATGTGCCACCTCATACCCTGCATTTGTAGTACCACATGACCATTGAGATCTCATATGAAAAGCTTCTTGTTGATGGTACACCATTAGTCATGTCATTGTCTAAGTCTTCCGAGAACCACCTCTTTGCACTCTCATGTGGCCTAGTTAAGGCCTTAAGGGGCGTATGCCTTAACTGTGCTTAAGACGAAATCACCAATACAGTAGGATTATTTTTGCGCTAACAAGAAATATGATGGGGAAAATTATCTCAATTGAATGCTAATAGGATAATGTGTAAAAAAGGTCACATTCTCATGAGAAAGAAAATAATGAGTTTCTATTGATCTTACTTATATTTTAATCAGCTAAAAAATATAGTTAATTTCTTCCTTTCATTCATCATGTAATGTGGGGACTTGTATATATGTATCTAAAACTTGTGAAATAGATAGTTTCTCTTTATCCTTTTTATTTCTTTTAAAAATAATTATACTTCAATGCACCCGTTTTGCTAGAGAAATGGTACAAACTAGAAATTTTGGTGAAAGGAAGATTTTTCCTTGGAAAATAGTATATGATGCTAAAAACCTATGAGAATAGGTTTAAGTATCCAATGCATGAAAATCAAGGTGCAAAAGTTTTAAATTTTGAAAAGGAAAAGTACAAGAGGCAATACCTAGTGAACAATGAACTGAAATTGCTCATTAAGTATTTGTATGTCCTCTTCACAAAAAAAAAGTATTTGTATGTCCTAGTATTCCAGATAGCGTGTATAACAATGTAGAAACAAGGCGAAGAAAAAATTTGCAACAGCTATATCTAGATATAATGACATTGATTCTTTTTTAGCATTTTAATATTAATATAAATAATATAAAATGACAAATATGTACACAAATAAGTAAGAACCAAGAAATAAGAAAATTAACAAATTATTGTAAACTCCCTAACACATACTCATCATAAAGTGACAATAGCTTAGGACATTTACACTTGCACAGTTGCATGACTGCCAAGATTGTTCTTCGGAAACGAAATTTTGGTTCGGAATAAATTCACTTTACTAGCACCAAGAACACTGTCCATCTCCCTGCCATACAAATCAACATACCGCTGGATGTGATTTTTGGGTTCCAATATGCATTATATGAAGTTCATACCTGTCTTTGGCCAAGATTATCTTTACACGAGAACTGTGCCATTCTATTCCATTCGGTGATGTTTTGCTAAGTCAGCTTCAAAATCTTGCTGATTTGGATTTTACACAATCTGGACTCGAAACAAATGTTTCGTATGTTCTTAAAATGTTAAAATAATCATTAATAACAAAACATCAATGCATTCTTATTTACATGTTCTCGAAGCAAAATTTACATGGTGGTGAACTAGGAATCCTTCACACACCAGTTATCCTTTTCACAGAGTTAAATAGGAGATCCAACAGAGAACAGTGTGTCATACGAACTTGAATTCTACTACTGTATGTTAATTGGAACTCATCTTGCATCACGAAAACCAGATGTCAGCAGATGCCTTATCCAGTAATGTTGTTTAAATTGGAATTCTTTCTGCCACTTCAGTTGTGTCACACATGACACAAGATTGTCAAAATTTTAGTGCTGTTGCCGAACATCCCATGAACTCCGAAGTACCATGCCGCAGGCTGATAGTTTAGACGCCAGAAGCTGCCCTCAAATATACCTTCTGCGACCTCGCAAAAAAAAAAGTAGAATGAAACTATGCATGCCAATCGAGCCTGCTATTTGTGCTCTGAAATGCACATAACAGTGAAATTAAGTTGGAAGAGTGTGCAAGCTCTACTAACATCAAAGCTTACTGTAGAATAGATACTAAACACATAACGGCAGTAGAACCAGCACTGACTGAAAGGCAATCAGCACCCTTCAAATCATAAAATCAGGAGATCATTTACTTATACTGACATGTTCTTATAAGAATTTCCACTCACCTTGTTATGACTTCATGGAGTCTGCTTGCAACATCATAGCACAACAGTACCCGCTGCAATACCTTAACATACTGCTTGTTGATCCACAAGTAAGCAAAATCACATTAAAATAGCTTCTACATTGCAAAAATTGGACAAGTCGGAGTGTAATTTCTAGTTCTAGTAACAAACATCATTCCCGATTAGTTTTGTACTATTTCCATTCCAAATTATAAGACGTTTTGGCTTTTCTAGACATAGCTTTTGCTATGCACTTAGATATACACTATGTCTAGATTCATAGTAAAATCAATGTGTCTACAAAACCCAATACGTCTTATAATTTGGAATGGAGGGAGTACCTAAGAGCTGCTGTGTGTGTATCATGCTGCAAGATTCCAATTAAACGTCATGTCTGTTATCAACACATATCAGTTAAAATTTGTGCCAATGTGTTCACTGATAACATAACCTGTGCTTTTGTTCATAGTTTTGGCAAAGGGAGGCAGCAAGCTTGAGACAACAACTGCACAACTTGCAAGAAAATTATCGGTATGGTTCGAAAACCCTGCAAAAGTTTCAAGCAAGTTATTCATCAGAATCTTGACTATTCAGAGACAGAAGTACAATGCACAAGCATGCAACATCCAAATGCAGCTACAGCTATAGCACATTCATAGATAACAGAAACAAATAGCAAGAGCCAAATTATCATGTGAAGGGCTAAAAAGTAGACATCAAAATACTTCATACGAGATAAGTTGAGCACGTGGCTATCACAGCTAAACTACTTCCCCTGCTTCATTTTAAAGGTGCATTAGGATTTGAATAAGTCTTTAGAATTGTACTTTGACCATGAATTTCTCTTACAATGTTGTTCTAAAAGCTGTGAGATATGAATATTGATATAATTTTCATACACTAAGCCTGCATATAATTTGATTAACTGTTAATCAAATTTTGTAAAATGACTTTTTTCCATACAAAAGAAACAGAGGGAATATCAAAACATATTCTGATGATGCTCCATATATTTATAGAGAAAACACAAATGTCAAGCCACATATATCAGCAATTGGCAAATATCATGGCTAGACTCTGTGTATAATTGTATAAAACACAACATTAATTGGTACTGCATATTAATTGGTTACAGGCAGTTGATGGGAGAGGATCTTTCTGGGCTGAATGTTAAAGAACTGCAGTCCCTAGAGAATCAGTTGGAAACAAGCCTGCGTGGTGTCCGTGCAAAGAAGGTTTGATTCTTAATCAAATTTTTATAATCAATTGTTCAACAAATTACTAAAGATCGTTACTACTGTTGATGTTCTTAACAGGACCATCTCTTGATAGATGAGATTCACGAATTGAATCGAAAGGTCTGCAGTACGATGAATTTATAGTTCTGTGTTAAGTGTTTTATTTGATTTAGTAACACTGACTAACCACTCTGTTGGTCGCAGGCAAGTTTATTTCACCAAGAAAACACAGACTTGTACAATAAGATCAACCTGGTTCGCCAAGAAAATGCTGAGTTACATAAAAAGGTAGCTGATGAATTGAACAAAAATATCACTAAGTAACCGCCTAACCACACATGTGGCATGATATTAATTGTTCTCAGATCTATGAGACTAAAGGACCAAGTGGAGTTAATCAGGAGTCACCGACTCCATTCAACTTTCCCGTAGTAGAAACTAGAGATGTTCCTGTGCAACTTGGACTCAGCACACTGCCACAACAGAATAACATTGAGCCATCGACTGCTCCTAAGCTAGGGTATAACATTTATTCTCTATTCTCTCTCTATATATTTCAATTGGTTAACTAGTGTTGGCTACAATGCTATAATGAGTTGCTAAACACATGCAGATTGCAATTAAATCCATGAAGAAGAGTAAAACTGACGTCTTATGATGCTGAAGGAAACTATTTATTGTAAAGAGATGATACTCAGAGCAAGACATATTTGTGAGAGGGAGATTTGAGATATGAACTTGTAAATGTAATGCAAATAATTTCCAGACTGGAATTGAGCCGTGGAATTCAGAGGATGATTGCTTTCTAGTTGCATTTGATGTTTGATGAGACTTTTCTCATATTAAAAGTTTATTAGAACTTTAAAAGGGTGCAAATGTTGCTACTACACTTGCCAGGCTTGTATAAATATCTGACCATGTGTACTAGTATTAGGAAAAAAAGAAAAGAAGACAGACAGCCATGTGGAACATCTTCACGTGTTTCTAAAAGGAAATGGTTCGATAGGGGACAATGATGCTATCTAAGAAGTAGAAACAGAGTCTAGTCTCCACTCAATAGTTTTATATTGCTATCAAGTGTTATCAAGGGTTTTAGTAGGATACAGATATAATATGAGAATGCAGTTAGAGGTATTGGTCATTTGTTGGGCCATATGGAAAAGCCAAAACAGAGCCTAATTCCATAGGAAAATAATAAAACATCCATGCAAAATACTCTGAAGCCTGTGCTTATTTGAAGTATTGGGAAGGTTTATACAAATCAGGGCTAAAGGAAGCTACCGTCGAAGGGATGGGCATCATTCCACATTTCCACAGGCGGCCATCAGGATCATGACATTGCAGTGCATGACATCGAATCTGATCTCCTGGAGTGCTAGGAAGCAAGCTATTGTGTCCAGGTCCAGCACGGAAGCAGAATACAAAGCTCTGGCCAATGCCATTGCCAAGATCATGTGGGTACAGAAATTGTTGACTGAGTTGAGCATACAACATCCACAGATGGCTCGTCTATGGAGTGATAACCTGGGGGCTAAGTATTTGTTGTCAAATCCTATCTTCCATGCTCGGACTAAACATAATGAGATAGACTTTCATTTCGTTCATGAAAGGGCAGCACAGAAGTTGCTGGAGTTGCTAGGGCTGCATGTGTGTTTGTTGTAAACTGAACCAGCCTATACTTTTGCATGAAGATGCTAGGTGCGGCAGTTGTAATCTAGATTGAGTTCGTTAGAGCTGCTGCACTTCGTGGGTAAGCCATAGAGATGGATTGTAACTTGTAAGCCACAACACGGACTCTTCCCATCTTATATAAGACACAGCCATCTGTATGGGCTGTCTGTATGCTTCGTGGGGCAGGTCTGGCTCTAGTTGCCTGAGGCAGGCCAAATTAGTGGTTTGATCTGTAACCAGGTTGTTTGTCCGGGATCTTTTCTTATTTTCATCTTCCTGCTTCTGTTACTGTAATGGATTTTTCCGTTGGTTAATGGAAAATGGGGTAACTCCGGGTTAAACAATTGCAGTTAGGTGGTACATTAGCTTTCTACCAGGAAATTATTGATTCACAACAGTGATAAATCAGAATAAAGCCATGGTACATGACGATGGAACACATTCATATTTTAAGAAGCCCATTATCACAAGGTACAAGTCCATCATGTTCCTTACTCAAGGCCCACTGTCCCAGTAAGGAAACAAAAAATAACTAAGAAGCATCATCAGACAGATAATATTAGATTTGTTACCGACTTACCATGTGAAGAATCATCATAAACCACAAGGGCCATTGACAGCTAGGGTCAGTATACTGGGAAGGATGAAAACAGAAGTCCATATTCTAAGTGGCACATGTGTTGCTTGTTATATATGATTCAAATATTAAAGAAGTTATAAACTACCCTGTTTGAAGTTTAAGTCTCCAAAACCTTGGCAGGCAACAAAATGTGGGTTATATTCCTCCTATGGAAAGAATTTAAAGCGTGACTGGAAGTTCAGGGCCAAAGAATACTGAAACCAAGCGCCTACAACTCCAACAAAACCAAACACCTAAGGCTCCATGCCCCCTAAACTAATATCTGCTATGGCTCTGGATTGAAGGTTCATCTGTGGACCAAAGTGACCAGTATGGTCAAGGTTGTTAGTATTGTGATATGGATCGTCCTACAATCCTACCCAGCTTGAATGATAGTATTGGACTGTGATCGTTTTTGGGTAAGATAGACGTGGGATCAAGATACGGATCATAGAATCCTTAAAATCCTGACACAAATGTTGAAATCATGCAACTCTGCTAAAGCAGCAGCTCATGGGCCTCCATGGCTAGGCAGCAGCGTGGCTGGTGGAGGCTGTTGGAATATAAGTAAATTGCCCACCTCTCCCCGTCAGCTTAAGCTTTTTGGTTAAACTGGTCGGTGCATGCAACTTAATATGGTATCAGAGCCAGAGGTCTCGAGTTCGAATCCTGGTTAGCGCAATTAAATGAAATAATTGCTGCTCGCTCCTATTCCACGCCTGAGGACTGAGGGAGCCTCCACGTGAGGGGGAGTGTTGGAATATAAGTAAATTGCCCACCTCTCCCCATCAGCTTAAGCTTTTGGGTTGAACTGGTCGGTGCATGCAACTTAATAGAGGCACTGTCCGAGCAAGCCACCTTGGTCACCCTGCATGCCCAACTCACCACAGCCGCTTGGCCTGTTCATGATCTGGGTTGAGCGGGTGACCCAAGACGCGCCTGTGTAAATTGGTCTGGGTTGGGTATGGTCTGCATGGGTTGGTTACCAGTTTTGTAGTTTACTGGGTTGGGTTGGGTTGGTTCGGTTCGGTCTGGTTTCATGGATTTTAGATGGTTTGGCGTTCAAAAGGAAAGGAGGTCACTGTCCCACCGCACAGCAACAGTGTGGCTGACCATAGCTGGGTTCCGCGCGACTCAGCCATAGAGAGACATCAGGCGCCTGTGAGGAGGGCGAGGAGGGCACTGATAGGTGTGTGCCCATCCACAGCTCGCCGCAGGACCAGCCACTGTCATTCGCTTTGGCGGCGAGGCACTTGTTGAGAGTCACAGGAGCACAGGGGGAAGGGCCCTGGGAGCAATGCGGGCATCAACAGGGCGGGATCATCAGTGTCGTCGGGGACGAGGAGGCTCAGGCCCATCCCGTTGACACCGTCGCGGCGCTCCAGGCCCAGCCGCTCCAACGAGGGCGCGGGGGCAGCAGAGGCCATGGAGGACACCGTTGCCATGCCCATCCTCACCCAGCTCGCCTTGCCATGCCCATCCTCGTCCAGCTCACAAACAAGGCCCCTATCTCTTTCTTGTTTTCTCTTGCCTCCGCCTCCCATTCTTGTTTGATTTGCTTTCTTGCTTCTCTTTCCTCTACCTCCCAACCTGCAATGCCTTCTCCAACGTTTGTGAACTCGATTCATGCAAGGATTTGATGGCTTGAAACTCGATTCAGCTGCAACAAACTCCACTCGTGCAATGGTGATTGGATTCACGTGGTGGCATGCTTGATTGGGGCGGGACAAAATCGATCCGATGGGAAAAATAAAACTCAATGCTTGCAGTGGAGGGCCTAATTCGAGCAAAAGAGGCTAGATTTGGTGTGGAAGGACACGAATTGGGTAGCGGCATGCTCAATTCAGTAATCTACAAGCTTGATATGAGTGCATACATTGAGGTCGCTACCACGTAAATCTCCACCACCACGGTTTCATCGAGGTTGGTTCCGGTCCGGTCCGGTTTGCGTTTTGTCAACCAATGAACAGGGCTAGCAGCCGCAACAAGCATCAATCACAGCTCCGGGGCCCTTCCCACCGGTGGCTATGCCGACCAACGACAGAGCGGTGGAGAAGAACTCTTCTCTCACCGTCCCCTAGCAGCACATCAGAAGTTGTGCGCCTCAACAAGCATATGACAACAAGCACTAGGCATTGCCGCCCTCTGTACCGCTACACATTTTTATGCCCGCCGACAACGATGAGTCAAGGAATGGATAAGAAGTATGGCATTTTGTTGAACATATCTAGCCCAAGTTCATGAACTTGGGCTAGATATATAGCAAAACACCATAGTTCTAATGAAAATCACAATAATGAATCAAACGTAATTTTGCAATTCGGTCATTTTTCGACACGTAATGTGAGTAATTACGAAATAATTACTTACAATTTTCTTGCAAGATATGCGTTTCTTTGCCTCTAGCTTGTCGCCACCCCTTGCATCAATCTGCCATAAAAACAAAATCTTTGAGCTCAAAGCACCAGTTTGAAATCTGGATCTGAAGTAATTCTTTGCAACTAAATAAACAAACACCATAAAAGAACAAAATTCACAAATGATTCCATAGCATATAATGCTGGTCACTGGATATCACCAACATACATACTCATAGAAAATTAACCACCCACCACCTAAACATCTCTACATGCCGCAAGTAAAACAGAAAGATGTTTTTTCGTTCACGTTATTGTGCCTCACATAAATGTACAGTGTTATGTTTCCATCCGAACTAAGAGATCCCTACAAACAAAACCATAGACACCCGTCTCCTGCCATTCTCTACTCCTGCTAAATATCACTTGATCTCACCTTTAAGGCTTTAACAGATGCCACAGGCAACCAGAAAATAAAAGGGAGATTCGATACAAAGCAATTCAAGAAAACACTGATTCCAACAATTTTTTAGGATTTCAATGGCATTAACCACCTGAATTCTTACAACTGTCTAAAGCTTCTCCCATAAAATTTCACATGAAACTATTAACTCAGCGAACATGAATTAGAAGGTCAACACATCTGATAACATCAAGGCTACCCTTCCCCATAATTTCTGTTTTCCTGTTCTCAAAATTACAAGGGATTTTCAAGGTATGACCAGGGACTCTAATTCCATTTTGCATGGTTTTTTCATTCACAGGCAGAATTACCAGAATATGTGAGCTCTGGTATTTTCAGTTCCAAATTCCAGTAAAAATGACGGAATTCATTTGTAGCACTACAACTTCATAAATTCCCATCTAGCCAGCTAGTATATTCAGTAGCATTCGTGTTCAGAGCAATCCCCCAACTGCGTGTTAATGTTGCTCCAATTTTTTTCTGGGGACTACTTGTAAGTCTTTAATAATGTGAGAAGAAAACAGCATGGACTGGAATTCAATCCCTCGACCTTCTAGGCACCAATTATGTGGTCTAATTTTGCTCCCATTTTTATGTTGGACCCACTTTTAAATCTAAAAATGTGGGGGGGAAGAGCATGGAGATTCAATCTCCCGAGCTTCTAGTTTATGTCCATAGATGGTTTCTTTCTACCACGCTAGACTAATTAGGTTAGTTTTATGACTGAGAAATTATATTTAACCACTCAAAATTTAATAAAACAAATTTTCTGACAACTAGCATTGCAAGTGACACCGAATCAAACAGTTAATCAGCCTGTTCGTTTCGACTTATTTGCTCGTATCTGGCTTATAAGCCATGGCTTGAACAATGTTTTTCTCTCACGCCAAACCAGCCAGCAGTACTTTCAGCCATGGTTTATAAGCCAATTCAGCCGAAACGAACATGCTGAATGACTTGGGAAAGGCCATGGCAGCAATAACCCTTAAAAAAGATAATCCTAAAGGTGGATGTGCAATGAAATAGTGCTATCTTAGAACTGCCACAGGCTTATCAAAAGGGTGATCTTATAGACAACTGTTAGATATATGGAAAATTGAAACCAATATGTGAAACATACAGTAACACAGTGCAAGCAGAGAAATAGAAAACTACCCTGTCATATTTCACCCTTCAATGTTGCTATCACTATCAAATTACATGATATTCTGACATAATATAACATCATTTACATTGATTCTTTGATATATAAAGGGTGGTCTACTGTGCAAACAGTTTCAAAATGGTCATATCAGTCAAAAACACCATACAAACTATCTAGAAACACATATGGCAGCGTGGCAAGAGGAGAAATAGAAAACAATTCCATGTGCACCCTCAAACTTGTGTGGTAATCTGATTTTCAACCTTAAACTATGAAACCGGGTGACAAACACCCTCTAACTGTCGAAACCGGACAGATTTGGTCAATGTGGTTTTCTATTTTCTAATAATAATGAAAATCTGGTTTGGTCTCTAGAAATTCATAATTAATTTATTTTAAATCATAAAAATATGAAACTAGTTCTAGTTTTCTTCTAAAAATATCATCTATCTGTTGGTGATATATTTAGAGTTATTCGGATCTAACTTGTTTAAAAAAATACTGAGTGCAACTACAAGCAATAAAGCTATAGAAACAGAAATAAACCTATTCTAAATACCAATATATGGATTATAAACAAGTAAATAAACCAATTGGTACTAGTTTCATGTTTTTCTGATTTATAAAACAAATTATTTATGAATTGTTAGACAGTACATCAGATTTTCATTATTTTTACAAAATACAAAACCAACTTTGAAACCAGCACGAGGACCAAATTTGTCCTGTTTTGGTAATTAGAGAGTGTTTGTTACCCAGTTTCATGGTTTAAGGTTGAAAATCAGACTACCACGCAAGTTTGAGGGTGAAAAATGGACTTTACCCTTAGTATTATGTTTATCATTCAAACCAAATGTGTCATGTTTTGAGAGAACATCTGTGATTTAACATGCCTGCCCCCACCCCCCTCTCCATGGTTCCAAGACACAAATCGTATACATTCAGAACATAAAAAAAGTGCTTGAATCATGCACTGTATAGCACGTTTGTTTCCTTTCAAAGTTACATGCTGAATCTCTTGCCATGGCACACTATATAGAATCAAATTCTCATGTGCCCAGATTTATGATTATATAATTGTGAGAAATATTCAAATAAATGAAATGTACTAGTGCTTATTCTTGATACTAATCCTACATAATTAGCTACCCCGTACCAAAAAAAATCTGTGTTCTACATCAAGTTGGCTGTCTTACCTGTTGTTGTATATAGTCATATAGTCATCAAGTACAGTTAATTCTTTAACAAATCCTATCAGAACTGCGGTTGGTTGAAACATCAATATACCATCTTTGTTATTACAAACAGCAATGAAGGTATACCCAGCAAGCATAATATAGTTGGACCCCAAAAAAATGTGCATCACGAATACATACAATATACAACAATTTATTTGCTTCCAAATTCCGTGGAGGTTTCAATCCACAGTTCGCCTTAAAGAAAGGGTCGCCTGCAACTGCAGACACTACAACACTACAAGGAATACCACAGCCACGGTGGCCAATGCTGACAATATAAACTCTCCGGCAATTTAACATATAAGAATAATAGTGCTATGCGGCCGCGTGTGACATATGCCCTAAGAGAGGGTTTGCATCAATCATCAACGAAAAAAAAAATGAGAACATTTCTAGACCCACCACATGTATATTAGCCATCTATCTAAAATCTAAAAGGCAAAAAAACTTGGTTTCCCGCACGGTCCTAAATCGTGAAAGCACATACCATAAATCTGGTGCTGTGAAACTGAAATCCCGGTTTAAACATCAACAAGGCAATGCAAGTGATAAATAGCTCGCGGAAAGGAAAGGAGGGTAAGATGTGAGAGCGCTCACCTGAGACGACGGCGCGCCGCTGCCGATGAATTGTGATGATGAGGGGGGCTAGATACAAAAGGGAAGTGGAAGGAGAAGGCAGTGCCGAGCCGGGATGCGGGTGAGCTAGAGAAGTTGAGGCAGGGTGCGGCGATTAGCGGGGATCGCGCGGATCTGGCTGGATAGACGCCGCCGCGGCGCTGGGCCGCCGGGCGAGCAGGAGCTTGGACGCATGGCAGGAGGCACTAGGCAGAGCCATGCGAGGCAAACAGGTGGCCGTCGAAGCGAAGGAAAGGCAACGGGACACACGTCGCCCCCGGGTGCTCACCAGGGCGGAGGGAGAGGAAGCGAAATCTGAGCTGGATTCCAAATCTCCCGGCTCGATGTGGTGCTGGTTTGGTGTGCTCGGGAGGGGTACCGCCGGGGCCTTCCCTTTGTAGGGAGCGAGCGGAAAGGCATCGGGGCAGCCATAATAGAGTATCTAGGGCTTTCCGGGACTAAAAAACGAGGCGGAGGAGTGTTCCAGCTTGGGCCACGTCGCCCCCCTGGCCCCTGACCCGACTGCCGGGCGGGCCAGCAGCACGCATCCGATCCGATCCGCCCCCGGCCGGCCGGCCGGCTTGCCTATTTTAAATTCCCTGGAGCTCCTGTGTGGCTGTGCGTGGTGTTTCCCGCTCCGGGCTGCTAATGGCGACGGGGACGGGCCTACCTGAAGCCCCGAACAGGAAGGCGATGATGGGCTTGGAATACCGACCGACGGGGACGT